AACTAGTATTTTAAATCGGCCTGAAATTTTTAATACATGGGTTAAATTTCCAATGAATGTAGAGAATTTAAATACCATTCGCAATGGGTAAGTTAGTATATAAATGATTATCTTATAAACACATCAGGCGAAGTATAGGTATTCTCTTTATAAAATATTATTTTAGTTTTTTCAATATGGCTGGATTTCTGGGCATTGTAGGTGCAATTGATTGTACACCTATTGCACTAGTTCCTCCTAAAACTCAAGATCCAATTCATCCTGAACATATGTATGTGAATAGGAAAGGATATCACTCTATAAATGTACAATTGGTATAATATTTATATACTTTTTTTTTTTTTCTAATATCTAGATCTTGATTCGTAGGATTGAGATTCCAAAATGAAATTTTAAATGTTAATGCCAGGTATCCTGGAAGTACAAATGATCAATATATTTGGAATAATTCCAATGTGAAAGAAGCTATGGAGAATTTACATTGTATTGGTCACACAGAATATCACTTATTGAGTAATTAGAACTTTTAATTGTATACTTAATTTTTTTAGTTCAAATAGGTTAAGTGTAATCCAATATATTTTCAGGCGATTCTGGATATACCTTAAGGCAATGGCTCTCAACGCCCACAGAAATTGAACCTCCGCCAAATACCAATGCACATAGATATAATGTAAGCCATAGATCCACAAGAAGTATAGTAGAAAGGTGTAACGGACTACTAAAAATGAGGTTCCGATGCTTGCCAAAGCATCGTGTTTTGCATTATTCACCACAAGTCTCATCAAATATTATTAATGCTTGTGTAGTGTTGCACAATATGTGTTTACAACATAATATGCCCGATCCAGATGATGAATTCAATGACTTTGGCATTGAAAATAATTTTGTTTGGATCAAGACCAAGATTTCAATAGGAGAGCCAGAGTAAATCCAGCATTAGTAGCTGGCAGATGAAAACAAAAATCAAATTATTAATGGCCATTTTAGAGCTTAACAAAATTATAAGATTGCTTATAAATGTAAATAAAAATATTTTTTTTAAAAGACATCTATATTACCAAATAAAGTTTTGAACAAATATACATTAAAGAAATCAATAAAAAAAAATTGATGTAATTCTAAAGTTATTATAGGCTTTTCCCTGTTATTCTGTACAACGTATTGTATACTACTCCCCGTAAATGTTTAGAGGATGAACCAAATACATACATTTCCCACAAACATTTTACTTGATACATTTTTTTACATATTTTCATTGCCAACAAAAATACTGAAAAATTAAAATTTTATATTTTTCCTCAAATTTATCCAGTACGGTCTATTTTAGAGAAGTCATATATAGAACAAAAATTATGGTAAATATCGAGATAATTTAAAAAAATTCTGAAATAATTTAGACACTCAAAAATATTTACCAGGCAGGTATTTTAAGGTTTTTCTGATATAAAATATAATAAAAGAACAGTTTTCAAATAGAATTTTTATATCTATATTAACAAACAATAAACAAACAAAATAAAATAATCTTCTAGATAAACAAACAAATAAAATCAATAAAAACTTAAAATAAATACTTAAAACAAAAAAATAGCTATAAGCACTAGACAATACTAAATGACAGGGCAATTACTTTTTAAGTATCCCTAATAAGGTTCGCCAATATTTTTCTAATATCCTGTTCTGTTTTTCACTAACTTTTATTTTTTGTCGTGTCAAATAATTTTTTTCTTCAATGTTCTCATTTTCCCTCTTTTGTAAGTCATTATTTTCCTTCATTAGTTTTAGTTTTTCTAAATAATAATTTTGTAAAATGTCATTTCTTTCTTTTGATGTGTTAGTCGTCATTTGTAGCCTTAACAGACTTATCAAATTGCTGTCGGCGAGTTGGTGGTGTTATCTTAACTGCAAAAATATAATAACCATTAAATAATAATTCTCATACAGTCAAGGCGAGGTTAAAAATTACATTTTTAATGAGAAAATGCTATTTTAAGCCTCGCCAATTTCTGAATGACTAGCAGTGTAAATCAGTTTGTTTCAAGTAGTTTGTAGACGTTAATTATAATTAATGATTTTTAATTTCAATTTGTCAACTGTAAAGTTTGTTTTATAAAATAAATCTTGCCTTTAGAGACAGGTGGCTGATTTTTAATTTCCACGAGAGGGTTGTCAAGTTCCGTGTACGAGTTCTCCATATTTTCAATATATGAATGATCCATGTGTTGGAATTGTTCGTGTTCATTCCCTTCTTCATCTTCTTCTTCTTCTTCTTCTTCTTCTTCTTCTTCTTCTTCTTCTTCTTCTTCTTCTTCTTCTTCTTCTTCTTCTTCTTCTTCTTCTTCTTCTTCTTCTTCTTCTTCTTCTTCTTCTTCTTCTTCTTCTTCTGTCTTCTTCTTCTTCTTCTTCTTCTTCTTCTTCTTCTTCTTCTTCTTCTTCTTCTTCTTCTTCTTCTTCTTCTTCTTCTTCTTCTTCTTCTTCTTCTTCTTCTTCTTCTTCTTCTTCTTCTTCTTCTTCTTCTTCTTCTTCTTCTTCTTCTTCTTCTTCTTCTTGTTGTTCTTCCACTTGCTGCATTTCATCTTCAAAATCCTAAACAATTAAGTAAAATTTTGATATTTAACTAAAGATTCTTTTTAAAATCTCATTTATAAACTATTAAAAAGTGTGATAAAGCAATATAATTACAGGATATAAAATAATCCCTATGTTCAAAATATAGGTATAAAATACAGGTACAGAAATTTAAAACCTTACAATGAATTAACTAAGGCATAATAGGAATAAGCAAATAAAGTACAGAAATTATACGACTTCTGCCTCTGATTTGTAACAGTATAGGCATATTATACTTATATTGGATTTAATGTTTCTTGAGTAAAAGTTTTAAATAGACTTACAAACTCAATAACTGATTCCGGGGTAGATGGATGACCTAAAGTAGATGTAGGATATATAAAATTAATCACATTTTCTTCCCATTTTAACAATATGTCTTTTATGGCCGCTCCACCACCAGTTCCCCTCTGGTAAGATTTGATTTGACATTTTTTGTTTTTACCTTTGATTTTATATCATGCCACGACTGAAATACAAAAAATACCATTAAACTCATTACTAGATATTTATATTGCAAGCTATTATTTTAAATATTATAGGGCTTATATTGACTTTTAAAAACAATTATATTTAAATATGTTCGAATTGAATTAAATAATTTCTTATTGATAATTAAAGTAAATAAATCATTTACTAAGGAATATCTAGCCGTAAAAAATATATACGGAGTGGCCCAAAAGTCTGGAAACGGCCAATTATCTCGTAAATTGCAAATTCTAATTGTACAAAATTTGGGGTACACCTATTTTCGGATACGGAGATTCCAGATTTGATATTTGCAATGTTACCAGATTTGCCGTTTCTCTTATATTATTAGTAACTTTGGTTTTTTAAATTGATCACCCTGTATATTCAGTCATTATTGGAATCTCCTATTCAATACGAGTTCAACCATATGTAACACTTATGATTTTATGTAGTCTGGAAGGTCTTAAATAAATAAAACAATCATGAAGAAATGTGGTAGACGCATTCTACCATCGATTAAGGTACTATCAACTCACAAATGGAACAAATTTTGAACACTTGATAAAGTAACCGTTATGTTAAAAATGTTATAATCTTTCAATTCTTACGTTTTAATGTAGTTGAAAATAGTTTGTATTAAAAAATTTATTGAGACAATTAGGCGTTGCCAGACTTATTTTATTTATTTAAGACCTTCCAGACTACATAAAATCATAAGTGTTACATATGGTTGAAATCGTATTCAATAGGAGATTCTAATAATGGCTGAATATACAGGTTGATGAATTTGAAAAACCAAAGTGACTAATAATTTAAGAGAAACGGCAAATCTGGCAACATTGTAAATATCAAATTTGGAATCAGCGTATCCCATAATCGGTGTACCCAAAATTTTGTACAATTAGGACTAGCAATTTACGAGATAATTGGCCGTTTCCAGACTTTTGGGCCACTCTGTATATTTATAATAAACAAGAGATTCTTACTTTTCGCCATTGTCGCCAATCTTTTTCGGGACCTGGGATTGAATTTAATTCCAATTCCAACGATCTCCATAATTTTGAGCAACCAATGCTGTGAATGTCTGAGTAAATTTTCCACTCACCAACTCTGGATGCCTACACATAAATTCTACTAATGTTTCACGCTGTTTTTCCTTTATTCGTGAACCACGCTGTTCAATTTTTAATATTCTAAATCTAAACCACTCCAATTCTAAAGTCCAAACAGTTAAAACTTAAAACATCCAAAAACCAAAAATTATTAGACATCTGCAATCTATTTAATTTTATAATTTTTGCATTTTTGGCAATTTTGACATATGTCAATGCAATTAATTCATATTCAGTGATACCATCTTTGGTATTCTCAATCCTCATTGGTTAAGACTATGCAATAATCAAAGATTCTTCGTTAACACGTTCGACTTGATTCGCGATTATCGCATGGTGTTCAGGAATACTAAATTGCTGTCGTATGCGTTAACGACCATGTTACTTAGCGAATGCGGCAGTTAACGCATGTTTCGAAAATTGGGCCCCAGGGGTTCAATTCCTGACGGCCTACGTTAACTTGTCGTTACCGTATGCGCCTTCTCAAAATGTATTCTTGACGATCGGCAACCCGTACGTTTCGTTGTCGCATACGCCACGAAACGCATGATGGAAAAGGAAGGTCTTGATCGTGCGACAACAGTGTACCGTATACGTTAGAGTTGTTGTTAGCCCAATAGCCCTCTTCATCGAGACCGTTTTAGATAGAAGTTTAATGTTTTAAGTGTTCATTTTGATTTTGTATAATAGGTAGTATCCATATGCATAGAAAAAATTATTAATAGTATCAGAAAGTATATAAGATTTAGTTAGTGTAGTAAATATAAAATTAGTTTGTAGTTTAGTTTTATTGATAGTGACACTATGAACATTATAGATGAAAAACGAGGTTTCCGTATTAGTGAGCAGCAACGTATGGCGTTAATCAGCAATATGGCTGATCATCCACAATTAGTGGTAAGTGGAAAATTTTCTCAAAATTTTACAGCTTCTTCGGCTAAAAGTATGTGAAAGGAGTTGGAATCCGAATTAAATTCGATGGCGGGCGCAAAGAAAGATTGGCAGCAGTGGCGAAAAGTAAGTTCATTTAATAATCCAATTTTACTGATAAATAAAATATATTTTTTAATTTTAGTCCTGGCATGACATAAAGACCAAAGTCAAGCCAAAAAAATGCCAAAATTAAAAATCACCGAAGGGGCACTGGTGGTGGAGCACCACTGGGAGATGTTTTAACAAACTGGAAGGAGAGTATTGTTAATTTGATTTGCTCAACGCCCAGTATGGGACACCCAAACATCAACAAGTAGAATCTGAGAAACTGTAAGTACCAAACTACATAAAAATTGTGTATTTTCTTATCTGACACGTCCAAACCTTTTCCAATAAGGCTTCCACGCCCAAACGTTGATGTCATTGACAATACAGTTTATTTTTCATATGATTTTGATTTACCTGCAACAGAGACAGTTGAGGTTGAAGAAGTCATGGTGTTGCAGGATCACTTTGAGGATCACCGTTATGGAGAGGTAGATCAGTAAAGAAACATTGCCGAATTTAAAATTGTAACTACTAAGACTAGTACTCCAGATATCTTTCCACCTACTCCCAAAAGTTTGCTTAATTATTTTTTTTAAATTAATATGACATCCTTGCAAAAAGTACCCCAATGAATCTAAAATATTCTTACATTCATATAAGCACATAAATTATATACATTTTAACAAAAATTTTTAAGGTGTTTTCAAAATTGTAATTGCAAATAAATATTTAAACTTTATCACACACAAATGGAGTGTGACTCTTCTCATAGTCTTATTGAGAGACGATTAAAAGGAAAAGATATTTACCTACCGACAGACTACATAAATATTATAAAATACGCCAGAAAAAAAGCAGTGCCTTTGGAAGTGGAATATTTGGACCATTCATATTTTCTTAATTTTGATGACCCGAACCTGATGAAATATAACTCAATTCGTCCGGGAAAATTAAAAAGTTCTTTAAAGGTGGCAAATATAAGATGCCTAAAATATTTACCCTCTAGAGAAATTTTGTTTAAAACGAAATACGACGACCCTTATGCAATATTACCACAAAGACAAAAAGGATTATTCTTGATGAATATATACCACAGCCTTTATTCAGCAAGCGGTTATAGATTTCAAAGAAAAAATGGCTTGATCTTTAACAGCTAAAAAAAATTATTTACTTTGTATATTCATTGTTTAATTTGTCCTAACCCACAGTAATCATGATTAAGATACTAGAGTATTTAATAAAATATGTCGTATGCAATAAAGTAATATAATTACAATAAGACGTAAACTACTTATTGTCGTCATTTAATCAAATAATTACCAAAAAAAACAACATTTAAAAAATATGTTTATAAAACAAAATTTAGGTAGTTAAAAATGTTACTTCTTTAGAATACTTTTTTTTTACCTCCTGTAAAATTTTGAATTTGTGGGATACGTTCATTTGGAATATTGGTATCGATATTTGAAATTACATGTTTTTACTCACATTTGTTGCTATTTAGTAATAACTCTTATTTATTTTAGTTAATTCACAAAAAAGTTTTCCCACCCCTCGTCAGACAGTGCAGAACTCTACGGAGGCTACACAAAAATTTAACTAAAACGTCTGAAGCTAGAAATGAGATGATGGGCCAGAATTACAGAGAAAAATTGGCCATACTAAAAGAATATAATGAGTTAAAAAAAACTGAATTGAAGTTAATGCGAGAGCAAAATGAAATGCAGAAAGAAGATGTTGACAATCGAAAAATTCAAAATGTTTTACTTGAAAACATAACAATTTTGAACAAAATTGTTCACATAAATTATTTTTTTATTTATTTTTGTTTTATTTTAATATAAACTAATATAAACATTTTGTTTAGTACATATATAATATACTCGCGAGCAATGCAATTGACTCCCCCCTTATTACACTTTTCGTGATATAGTGGGGGTTATGTTTTTCATATTTTAATAAAAATCAATATAGATGAATATTAAAAATTTATTTAGAATACATATTTTTGTAATAAAAACTTGGCAGTTCAAACGCGAAAATGGCTATTTATAATTTGTCTTTGTTTTCTTCGACCATCTTCTAATTGTGGGTTAACTCTTCCTCTTCTATCAATGCGGTCTTTATTTTGAACATAATTAACCCTGGAATGCTACTTGGGGTACACTTGTACCCCAACACTTTTGAAATCTGGCGCTAAACGGAAGTGGGCAGGGCAACGAACGCCAGTGTCTCATTAGTTTCAGTACGCGGCAAGTCAGTTCGCATGCGACAATCGAGATATACGCAGTGTTTCTTGTTTTTGTAATACGTGTTATTTGGGGTTGGCATGTACCCCAGTGTAGCAGAGTGAGATAATTTAATAAGAGTGAGTATCTGTTTCTTTGTTTGTTTTTTATTACTTTGAAACTATTATAGTTTATTTTTTTATAGTACCTATATAGATTTTTTTTCTTAGGCTACCGGAATAATGGCTGGTCAGAAGAAGTTCTTTGACCTTACAAAATCTGAAGACATAGATGAAATTCATCGCATTCTCTACGAGTCTGAATCAGAGAGTTCTTCGGATGACAGCGACGAGAATGATGCCGTTATACCTGATTTTAGAGAGGAACCCGAAGAGGATGATATACGAGTACGTGTAATTCATGCTAATCCTACACCTTCTACCACACCAGGTCAAACCCAGGATACCTCGCCATCTGATGCGGATTCGGAAGATGACAACGTACCATTGGCAGAAATACAGGCGACTAACATAGATATGGTAAAAATTTTACCAGTTCCTACCAAACTAAGGGGTAAAAATGGGTTTATGTGGTCAGGGAAGAAAGGCTCAATTCATCGTACACCAAAAAGAAATCTCGTCTTGCATTTACCTGGAAACAAAAACGAGGCAAAACATATAAAATCGGAAGCGGAGGCTTGGAAATTATGTTTCACAAAAGAAAATCTAGATAAAATCACACAATATACTAATAACGAAGTGCAAGTTCAACGATTGAAATATGGAAATAGAAACCATGACAGAGATGCTGACGGAGATGACAATACGGTAGGTAAGAGACCCTCTTGGACCAAGGATACAAACAGTGTTGAACTTCAAGCACTTTTTGGACTATTTTATTATGCCGGTGTTATGAAAATGTCTGGAGTATTTACGAAGGAACTATTTGATAAAGACACAGGAATACCTATATTTCGTGCTACCATGCCCGAGGCACGTTTCAGGTTTTTGATAAACTGCCTCCGTGTTACGGTTCGCATTTTATCGTTGCAATATTTATATAAAAGTTAAATAATTTAATAATAAGCTTACCTGTCGAGAAAAGAAAACACAAGATTGTTCAAATTATGTATAATAATTTTCTATAACCTACCCCTGAATGTAAACAAACAGTTTGACATATATTGTCGACCTTGACCTTCCCTCTTCTCTTTTATGAATTTAATTGCAATGGTTTAAAGTCCAAATTACTTCTTCTTTGCTAAAATCTACAGTCACTTTCATTTATTCAAATTTTAGTTCAAGGCCAAGGTCACTTAGTCCTAAAATATGGTAATTTGTTGGCAACCCTAGATTGTCATTCTGGCTGAAGAACTTCCTTCCTCTTCTGTCCTTTTTCAATTAGCTTTCTTTGGTCCATGAGGTACCTGAAATTAAACGAATTTTATTCGGATTATTTAGCTAATATTAAAGAGAAAGTTACCTTTAAAAGTATATTTGTCATTATTGGCAGCACCTTGTGGTGGAACTAATACTTTTATTCCAAAGGCCACCTTACATCTACGGAAAGTCCATATCAACCATGCTTTAGTTTATATGTAGAATATTTCCTCTATTTTAGGCCTTCTTCTTCTTCTTCTTCTTCTTCTTCTTGTTGTTGTTTGTATCCATTCTGTAGAGCTTTTTGTACCGCTCCTGTAATATTTAGCTGTAGTAGTTAGTAGCTATTATTTTATTTGGACCCTCTATCGTCAGTGCTTGGCTTAGTGGTTCCAGAGAGGAAGTAACCCGTACTATAGATCACTGCTTCCTGCTTAGCTTGTTCGTCCAGCCCTTAGCAACCGATCGATAACTCTGATAAGCACAACCCCTGGATGGTAGATCACCAGGAAACCACCAAACAAGTAAGAACGTTCCATTTCCTACTGCACTGCTTGAGCTCTATTTTTGCCACGCTTAGCTTGCTTGTATATATATATTATTGATTGTTAATAACATTAACCGGCTTCACCGTTCTGTACATATAGTTAATATCACGTTCCATTTCCTACTGCATTGCTTGAGTTCTATTTTTGCCACGCTTAGCTTGCTTGTATATATATTATTGATTGTTATTAACATTAACCGGCTTCACCGTTCTGTACATATAGTTAATATCACGCTCATAGTAGTATTCTGTAAATAAATTATAGATTTTAGTATTATCACTTCATGCAAGATTGTTTAACGTTAAAAGTTACACTTCGTACTTACCTAACTGTGAACGATTGGTACCAACCGGGCAACGAAGTCATTTTAAGTTTATAATAAATACATTTGCTGGATTTGTTCCACTTTGATAATTAAACAGATAATTGAGCAGACTAGTTGCTGAGGTATTAAAAGGTTAAACCATACTTTTGTGTATCTTTCCACGACCCTATCTCTCCGATTATTATAAATTAAATGAATAGAGCTAGCCACCCTTATCTCTAGTGAGAAGAGCTGCATTACAGCCCCAAACTTTGGGACAATGTAGCAAAAATGGCGCCCAACCTTACATTTTACATGAAGCAAGGTAATATTGGCTTTATTTAGAGCACAGGCTGGTATATTTTCTGATTTTAATTCTTTTAGTTGCATCTATTAAAAGTAAACATTGATTTGACATTTGACATTGAATTTTCTGGTTACTGTCATTGTCAAAAGT